CACTTGAGGAAGGGTGGAGAGCACACCAGCAAAAACATAACAACAACAAAGATGAGGACAAGTTATTAATTCATGCTATTGTTTTCATTTATTCAGAAGAAATAATTATATATTGATTGACTGCTATCAAGGTTGACAATAGCTGTAGCAGCTTTTATTAGCGTTTGTAGATGAGGTATTTTGAGTAGAATGTGCCATGTAGTGTAATGGATAACAGATCAGAATGAGAAATCTAAGAGCCAAGTTCAAATTCTAGTCAGGTTCGTTACATTCACTTACAAGTAAATACCCTTGAGGAAAATATGAATCCAACTCTTCTCTCTGGTTGAATAGCAGAAGAGACCAAGTCTTATAGCCTTGGTTGGCAACCAGTTTACCAGAGAAAGAAATAGCAGTTTATTGTGAACATGATCCACTTTCTTTCCAATAAATCAGTGTGGTTATGCCAGTGATGTGACCTTTGTTGATATATATGATGGACTCTCCCATCAATTTCAACATATGAGGAGTAACCAACCTCATTCAGTTTTTATGTTTGTGTCATATGTGACACTTCAATTCCACTAGTGACCTGCATACAAGTCCACATATTGTGCAACAGCAAGGATCTCAGGGACATAATAACAGGAGTATTTGCTGACTCCTTTCGCCATTCAATCTGACTGATTTCAAAATTTCTGATACCCCTCTGGCACAAATATCTCCACAACACACACACATGAAAACGTGTGAAAATATAATATATATATATATATATATATATATATAATATGGCTATAGAGCAAAATGTATGAAGAATAAAATTATGGCCTTTCCTGGAAATTTTCCAATATCAAAACTGTTGTGCCATCTCCATAAGAATATAATTTAGCAAGTCTAAATTGGTTATCATAATTTCAGACTTGACCATTCCATTGGCTCAGCAAAGGAGATACATTCCTGAAGGTTTAAAAATGCCAAAAATAATGATTAGCTTTAATTATTGGCAAGACATATAAGACTGTTCACTGACTGATAGTTTTAAGTGATGCAATTTGACTCAGATTTTATAGGTAAACAATTTACTGAGACATTATCACTCAAGTCATAAAACATCTTTTCGTTTTGCTGTTGCCCAATTTCATTTGGCTGCTCTGATATCTTTAATCAATGTATTTTTAGTGTTGAATTTTTCAAAGGATATCTTTTGTTTTAATGGACAAAGCCAAATAGAAATGGATCTAACTACAAAAACTAATAATTTATTGTCAAGAGCAAGCCGGAAATGTTCACCTAATAGTTTGAAATCAAAGAAATTGAAACTAAATACTATTTATATTATTCAGACTATTGTCACCATATTTATTACAATGTTTTGGCCGTTATCTCCTGTTAATTCCCCTCTCCAAGTTCTCCACTGCCTTAGCTGGGTATTGATCTCACAAATAACTGATAACTGACTTCCATTAAACATGGCACATGGAACTAGAACAGTCTACCCCAGTGAGCGAAATAAAGGGTTCAGTGCAACATTCCAGCCACCTGAAGAAGGCTGGAACATACAACAGGCAAAATATAAAGATGGCGACAATAGTCTGAATAATGTAAATAATGTACATAATACCTCAACTCAGAAATATAGACTGATACTGAAGAAGGGCGGAGTGTACAATGGCCGAAATGTTGTAATAATAAATATGGCAACAAAAGATGAGGTAATCCACATAATGTAAATAGTGTACATAATACCTCAGCTCAGAAATATAGACTGATGAAGAGGACAATGGTAAACGTTGTAATAATAAATATGGCAACAAAGATGAGGACAGTAGTACATAATGTAAATAGTGTACATATTACCTCAGCTCAGAAATATAGACTGATACTGAAGAAGGGTACAATGGTAAACGTTGTAATAATAAATATGGTAACAAAGATGAGGACAGTAATCCACATAATGTAAATAGTGTACATAATACCTCAGCTCAGAAATATAGACTGATACTGAAGAAGGGCGGAGTGTACAATGGCCGAAACGTTGTAATAATAAATATGGCAACAAAGATGAGGACAGTAATCCACATAATGTAAATAGTGTACATAATACCTCAGCTCAGAAATATAGACTGATACTGAAGAAGGGCGGAGTGTACAATGGCCGAAACGTTGTAATAATAAATATGGCAACAAAGATGAGGACAGTAATCCACATAATGTAAATAGTGTACATATTACCTCAGCTCAGAAATATAGACTGATACTGAAGAAGGGCGGAGTGTACAATGGCCGAAACGTTGTAATAATAAATATGGTAAAAAAAGATGAGGACAGTAATCACATAATGTAAATAGTGTACATAATACCTCAGCTCAGAAATATAGACTGATACTGTACAATGGCGAAACGTTGTAATAATAAATATGGCAACAAAATGATGGACAGTAATCCACATAATGTAAAAGTGTACATAATACCTCAGCTCAGAAATATAGACTGATACTGAAGAAGGTCGGAGGTACAATGGCAAACCTGTAATAATAAATATGGCAACAAAGATGAGGACAGTAATCCACATAATGTAAATAGTGTACATAATACCTCAGCTCAGAAATATAGACAAATACTGAAACTAAATCCTTTCACAACCAATTTCTTCTCTTCCAAGCTTTGAACAATCTTCTTTATAGTCTTTATTCTTTACCAAAAAAAGGCTTTAGCTATTTGAATAAAGCTTGGAAAGTTAATTACTCTTCTCAAAAATATTTACAATCGGTCATACATTTGAATTCCCAAATGATTATTACTTTTCCTACCTACTGTCTCGTCGATCTTGTCATCTGGTGAAATTACAGAAACATTTTTTATTGATTTTATTGAAATCTACAAATAAAATCTTTGCTCATCTTTTTAAAGCCAGTGTATTTTCTTTGCAAGAAATGAAAATTGCATCTCTTGGACAAAACTCTCTAGGACACTTTTATCGATCACTTATAAAACAAACACTTTTCTCTTGCTCCCAGGAGAGATCATAAAATTATTTTTCTGTTTTGATATACATTGGTCACTCGTTATCCACAGTTTTACTTTCCATGTTTATAGCTATTTACCAGCAAACCCAGAAATAAATTATTCAGTAGTTTTACTTAATAATTGTCCCAATGCACAAGAGTAATAATGTTAACAAAACAAAAGAGAAAAGTCATTCTTTAAGTAAGCTTTACTATTTTTCAGTTTATAAGATCTTTCTGTTTAAAACTTTTTTCAGGAAAATAAGTTTCTCAAGTCCAGTAACTACTATCGCTCTTCCCAGTTTTGAATGGTGATTTCTTCCCAAACTTTTGTTCAAAGTAGCATGGAATCTCAATATTTTGATTATTATTATTTTCTTTTGGGGCTACATGTGATATCCATTTTATTTGTTGCTGCTGTGGAAAGTCCTCAAGTGATATGGTTTCTGTTACTTGGTGCGATTTGTTTCTTTTTTTCTTTGTGATTCTATAGTGTCAGTTCGTGAGGTTCAAAAAAAGATAATCCTCACTAAAACCTACAGTCCAACGGGCTCTAAGCCATTTCCAATCATTTGAAGAGACATGGTAAAGTTCAAAAATTAATTTGAAGTACAAGACAGGAAGCTGTGGTAGCCATCATCGTCCATGTCCTGATGAGACTTGGCACATAAAAGAAGAATTTAAATTCACTTGCATTCATGCTTGAATTTATTTTCATGACGTCTTTTAAATAAAAATCCAAGAATACTAGAAAACCATTTCTGAAGTCTGAGACAAAAAAAACCCTCATCTCAGATGTTAAATTGATATGTGAGCATTGGTTTTGTAAGTTAATATTCTATGTGCCATAACCAAAATTGCTTTAAATAAGTTGCACAATGATTTACATTTTTTCTTTTGTTAAAATCAAGAAGTCATTTAAAAACTTTACAATGTTTGTTTAAACTCATTTTCCTATTGCATTTCTTGTTATATTTGAACCAATCTGTTCTCTAGCCTTCTTCAGATGTACAATCCACAAGGAAATACCATCCTGGATAAGACGATAAACTATGTCCAACAGCAAGCCCCCTGATCAGGAGGTTTTGAGGATCGTGGAACCACCTCTTAATTGCTGGTGTTCCCAGGTCCACCCTGACCCGGGGTGGTAACACCTGTTAGGGTCCCAGCTATGGGCAAATAGTTAACACCAAAACTTGTGTAAAAATAGGTTTTAATACCAGAAATACTTTGTAATAAAAGAAAATATTACCAGCAATAATTTTTGAAGGAAAAATTATTATTTTAAAAAAAAAAAGTACCAGCAATACAAACAGCTATACATTCTTTGGAAAAAATATAACCAGCTATAGATTTCCTTAAGAAAAAATATTCCCAGAAATAGATTTTTGAAGAAAAACATTACCAGCTATAAAAATTTTGTCGGCATTAAATAACCCATTGAGGTTGATATGCCATAAAACAAACCAAACCACAAGGAAATAAAGTGGTCTCTTTTTCCAGATAATAGTGGCAAATATACAAACTGACTCTGCTCATTTTCACAGTTGATACTATTCTCAGCATCTTTTCGGTGATTCCATATTATTTTATGTATAGGAATGATCTTCAATTCATTTCTTGCCAAATAAACAAATATTATACATTATTTATATTCAGACTAGTTGTAGAGAATCCTGATATAATAAAAAGATCTTTCTTAATCATTTACTAGTAACATTCATTTTATATTTTAAAATTTTATTACTATGTATTATCATTACATAAAATATGTGTTGGTAATGGGATATGATAAAGATAGCAAAATATTATCTCAATATATGTGTGTAATAATTGCTTGGACCAGAGAATTTTAATGATCCTATTTAGGAATTGTTATTCTAGAATTTAGTCTTTAAATGAAATTATCTATAATTTGTATTAAAGAAAAACATTCATTTATGCTTAAAAAATGTTACTTAAAGAATAGAAAACTTGAATTTTAAAGTATAAATCTTGATTTTTTTTTGACAGGTTCCAGAATTGCAACAGCTCTGGGCATTGTGTGTTGATTCAAATTCCACTATTTGCCATGCAAATGTTGAACTCCTTCTTAATTTGGTCTATTCAAATGAAGCCGACTACACATATGTACTCAATGGCATTCTTAATCTAATACCTACAGCAAAGTAAGTATCTCTTCAAACCTTTTACTTTCCACAATTAATATTTAATATTTATTGCACTCAATTCATGACAACTTGCATATATTGGTGAAATTTTATTGGACATTAAATCCAATCTGGTATGCATATGTACCTATTAACTTTTTAATTTTACTTGACATGTGAAGAAAAAAACTTCACATACTCTAGATATGTGAAGAGTTTCAAAATAATTTCTTTATATCTCCATAATATATAAATTTTCTGTGATTTGAAAATGGTATCCTTTTATTCAAAAGGAATCTTGGATTTATCTGGATATTGGTAGAAAATAAAAAAATAAAAATCTTCTTCTCCAGAAAAGAAACGCTGAACATGTAATTCAACATTAGTATTTATCATTTTCTACCAATATACAGATAAAGCTAAGATTCACAGCACTTTCTAACAATATTAGGGAAATCTTGGAAGTGTCTTCTTTACACGGCTCTGTATTGTTTGTGCATGTTTACTTTTAAAGAATTTTTAGGCAGAAAAGTGATTTTTAACCAAATATAAAATGTGCATGATGGAATCAGGTACATTTTATATTCAATTAAAAATTTAATTGGAAAAGATGTACAGGTAGTGCAGTGGATAGGGTCTTGGAATGAGAAATAAGAGGGCCAAGTTCATATTCTAGTTGGGTTCTTTACATTCATATATGTGCAAATACCCTTGGGAAACATATGAATCCATCTCACCCCCACCCAGCTGAAACTTAGTTCAAGAACACAGAAAGCCAAGGAAAAGATTTTGATGACTTAATAATGATGCCATGAATTTTATATGAATAAAAGAGTTTATCACTAAATTTTGGAAGCTTTTTAATTAATCTATTATAATTGTTGAAAGGTTCCCTCAAATTCTAATCAAAAGTACTGTCTCTATACTGTTTAAATCAGGGGGTCATGGAACGGAAATTTTCAAGTCAGCAAGGTCTATTTTAGTTCCTCTCCAATGAAGGTGAGAAAACTCAACCTCCCCACCACCTCTTATACCTTACAAGAGAAGTGAAATATACTTTGCAACAATGTCTGGGTTTCTTTTCTTTTGTAATTTTATAAGAAATATGTTTGACAGCTCATATTAGATAAAACCAAAATTAGCATCGATTTTTTTTTTTTTTTTTTTTTTTTTTTTTTTTATACATTTAAGGAACAGTCTTCATAAGAAATGATTAGGACTTGTTTCAGGAACTTGTTGGTGATGGAGGAGCAATTGAAATGCAATACAACTAACGCAAACATAAGGAAATGGAAATTTCTTTTTTTATAGAGTAGAGTGAGAAGGGATCGATTTGGCTATTCAGATTGGTATGGGGGTGGTGCAGAGCTAAGATGACAGATAGACTATACACACAACAAAAAATAAAGATTTTTTTTCTTTCATAGTAAGAAAAGATAATGTCTTCAAGTGGAGGGTGTGTGTGTGTGAGGTGACAGATAAGCAACATACACAACAGAAAAAAAGGATTTTTTTCATAACAAGAGAAGAAATAGATTTGATTTGAAGGGTATATCAGCTTAAAAAAGACAATACAAACAACAGAAAATCTTGCTAGAAAATAGTTTAAAGGAAAATTATTAAATAAACTGAAATTTCAAGAAAGACAGACGTGCTTATAGTCAACTACATAATTGGAACAAAAAGACATCTTACTTATTATAAAACGCAGATTGTGTGTGTCTGTACGTTTATATATTGGATCGGATTTCCTACATTTTTCAACTGATTTCAACAAAACTTCACAGGGCTATGTAAAATTACCTTGCGGTGGTTCTGATAGCGCCAAAAATTGAAAAAACACAATTGTTTGCATGAAATCAATTTGAAAACACGACTCTGTTGCCAGAATGAAAGGCGGACAACTCATATCGAGTTATACTTATTATAAAAACCCAGGTTGTTTGTGTGTGTGTATTTGTTTATATATGGGATTGGATTTCCTACATTTTTCAACCGATTTCAACAAAACTTCACTTTTTTTTGGCAGGTAGTGTTTCTTAGTGTCTTGCACACTTTATTCTTTATTTTTACATTCAGAATGCTTTAAAAATTCCATTTACAAGACAATTGTTTATAATAAAATTCTGTTCAATCGATAGACTCTTAACGATTGAAAACAATGTTTTTGTTTGAGTTTGGGTTTGACCAATTCATAAAAAAAAAAGAAAAAAAAAAAAACTAATTAAGACATGCGTGTCCGTCAACCTTAAACAATAATCTTTGTCAATTTTATTTTTCAGTCTTTATGATGGTCGATACTTGATCTATCTCTTACTGTTACTGTCCCCGGGCAACGCCCGGCTCTACTGCTAGTCAACAATATCAAAGAAAATGAAAATTGCCAAAGAACCAAACTTTTTGAGAAAAGTGGGATTATTTATATTTTGTGACAGAAATAAAGGATATAATACAGTGCTAGGTATATTTGCATAATATTGCTGTGCAAAAAGAATATAGCATAGTGAGATATTATGAAAGAACACACACGCCTGTGATCAGTACAGAATATTCACTGGAAAGAATAGAGAAGAAAAGATTGAGAGACTTAAGACAGTGTTCTTTTGAAGCAACAATGCTTTTCAGACTTAGGCAAAAAAAAGGGAAAATACTGTAAGAGCAAAAGTTTTTAACTCAGCAAAATTATCAGAAAATTGTTATGACCCTTCAGTGGATGAAATTTAATCAAAGATTCAGCCTTTTAATGGCTAGAGAAATTATTTGACAATAATTTGAAAATATTTTAAGGCATCAGCTTGTCACCCAATACTGTTGCCAGTCATATCACTGATTTACCAAGTAATTCATATCGACTACCACTGCACAAAATTTTGAAACCTTTTCCATCACACTTGATGAAAGAAGTCATTACAGGTATTGCTTATCATGCTGTCTTTATTAGAGGAGTTGAGAAAAAGTTCAAGGTCACTGAAGAATTATTTGATTTACTACCCTTGAAGGGAACAGTGACAAGGTAGAATATATTTAGTTAATTGGAAAACTACATTCAAATGCGCAGGATTTGATAAGTCAAAAGATGTGTCATTGGCAACACACGGTGCACCTGCAATGTGCTCTGAAAAGGTGGGTTCAGTTGGCCAGCTTAAAAAAGTTGAAGCATCTTGGTGTGCTCATTTCTGGTATTCATTGCATTCTGCATTTTGTGAAGAAACATGATAACATAGATGTGGTCATGAAAACTATCCGTTTCATACAGGCAAGAGTCCTCAGCCACCAACAGTTCAGTTCTTTTCCCTCAATCACGGATCTAGTGAATATGGAGATTGTGCTTCTGTACCATTCTCAAGTAAGGTAGCTCAGTTTAGGGGATTGTTTTAATTTTCTTTTCTTTTTTTTTTGAGAGACAAGATTGGATTTTTTTTTTTTTTTTTTGTCAGTGAAAGGAAAAAAGATGTTTCTAAGTTATCTGTTCACTTTTTGTCTGTCAGCTTCCATTCCTCACTTATCTGAGTAGAGCACCCCCCCTCCCCTTTAATATTTCTAAGCTTGCAGCTCCATAGCCGAAAGCAGATAATAACGGTGATGTATGATATTTTGAAAGCTTTCAAATGTAAACTTTTGTTTTGGGCAAAGCATCCGACAGATGGAAACTTAACCTACTTCACAACCTTTAAGAGAATTGAACCAACAGTGCTTGAAGGAATATGCAGATATAATTTTAAAACTGCATGTAGAGTTTCATCGACTTTTTCAAAACCTTCTGGCATTAGAAAAGCAATTTGATTTTTGCTACTCTATTGGCCCTGGATAATGATCTTGTCACTGGTGAATCTCACATGGAAGTTGGTGGAACTTTCACATGATACCATATTGAAGCAGGAATATACTGAGATTGGCATCCCTGGTTTTACCATTTCTTTCCAAGTGAAAGATTTCCCAAATTGTTTTCCTCGTCTTTGCACATTATGGACATGATTGAAAGCACACACAATTGTGAACCATTTTTCTCATCAGTGAAAAATAAATAAGCCTACATTGTGCTCAAGACGAACTGATGAATATTTACATTCTGTGTTGAGGGTGGCTAATGTGATTTGAAGTCAAAGAGCAAATCCCTGGTATCTGCAAAACATTTCTACCAAAAATCATCATCATCAACTGTTTGCGTCAAAAAGTACCTTCTGTATTCTGCTACAATACCAAGGTATTGTGGGCCGACTGTTTCACATCATTTACTCTTTAGATGTGTGAGTTTGTTGTACATCCCATTACTGGTGATCTTATAATTCTGAAACCCACCCCCATAATCACTAACCTAATGAGTACATGGCATACGATAGTCGCAAAACCCTGGTGTTGTGACAAAGAACAGAAGATAAATTTTACACTGTGATCAAATGAAGGGAATCGGAATTCAATTTAACATATAAGTCTGAATTGAGTAAAAAAAAAAACAAAAATAAATTATTTTTGTTCACATTAATGCAGAGATCTCCCCAATGGCGCTATCCTTGGGCATACATTGTTTCTTATCTTCATCAATGACACTCCTTACCAATGTTATCAGTTTTTAGAGGGCATCTGCCAATTTTACTTTGCTAGCACTATCAGACTTAATATTAAGGCAGGAGTAAATAATTGTGTCTAAATCAGCAATAAATACTGATTTAGGTACAATTATTTACTCCTGTCTTAATAGTAAACCTGATGGGGTCAGCGAAGTAAAACTGGTAGATGCCCTCTAAAAATGACTTCCAACCAGTTGTTAACTGAAGCAAGAAATGTCTTGTAAATTTTAAGACCTCCAAAATGAAACTGCTATATTTTAATCATTATAATAAAAAAAAAAAATTTAATTTCCATCAGTATGGCTGATGCTAGCCTCCAGGAGAGCAACTCACTTGCGCTGCCTTGGTCTCACATTTTCCCTGACATGAAGTGGAACAATCATATTGAATCCATTGCTAGCTCTGATGCCAGGATAGTGGGTTCACTGTGCTGTGCCAGACAATTTTTCT